CAGTAGTCATCGACACACATTAACATCCCATACCTACTAATCGACTTGATAGCTTCGTAATTTGGGGAGGGTGGGGGTGAAAGAGCACCATGCAAGTTTCCAAATGTGTAAAGGAAAATAAAGGAAAAGTACAATACAATGTTGGTAAGCGATACAAAGGAAATATCTCCTTACGGCAGCGACTTGATACAACTACATTGATGCTGGAGGTCACCATTTTTGTTCTCGCGTTCAATAATACGGTGATAAATCAGGACTCACAAGTACAACGAATTTACACAACATTTTACCATGAAATTGAACCTACCAACCATTTTCATATCTTCAACACTGCCATGGTTTTGGCGAGGATGAATCTCACATTCATTATTTTCTTGACTGAGCTCACACAGGTTTCAATGTTCCGTGGCTTGAATGTAATTGTACACCACACGTGAATGTAAACTAGCTTGCACAGTAATTCGTTTCAGTCATTGAAGTTATACATTTGTTCAATTAATTACTTATTTATTTATACGATAATAAAAAATCATACATGTAATTTCTTAGACCTTTTCATAATGTAAACTGATACATGTCATCTCCCGGGCGTTTGCTTCGTTTTTGTACAACACACTGGAAATAACAAAATGGCTGACACCATCATAAATTGCTGGTCATAAAAAATAGAATACGCATGCGCAACATTATGCAAATTAGTCCACTCACCGAAGTTGTATTCATGCAATTAGGCAGAAAATTTTTTTTAAAAAAATTATAAAAAATACATAAAAAATGCTAAATTTTAATTAAAATGTAAAATAAAACAATGAATTGCAGCAGTCAATCATTAGTAACATTCTTACCAAGTTACATAAAAATCGTTTTAATGCTTCTTGAGTTATAACTGAAATAGCTTAAAATTCACACATTATTATGCAGATGAGCTCATTAATATGCATGGATGTCAACCAAAAACAAATCTGCACATTGCCCCAGACAAGCTATATACCAAGTTTCATTGAAATCCGAACATTGGTTCTTGAGATATCGATGGAACAGACTTATATTCAATGACTTGAATATAACTGGTATATTAAAATAGTGATGGGAAAAAAAAAACAAATGATTAGAATCTGAAAAAATAATGATGTGCACCTGTATCCTAATATGCATGATCATGATACAATGTTTGAATGTGAGCACCCAGTTTCTTTTTCGGGAAATTGTTCCAAACCATGTAAACGTTTACATTTCGAGATTTTAATCAAAGGAACATTTGTGACCAAAATTAAACAACAACATGACAGTAATCATAATTACATAAAAAAAATGTCAGGATTTATATGCATGTACTACCATTATGTTCTATGATGTGAATAAAGTGCTAGACAATTTAACATGCTCATGTCTTAAATGTGTGTATTTGCAAAATATAAAACCAAATGGTGATCTTATTGGTCATCGTGAATTTGATAGCAACACAGATCAACTTTCATTGATGTGCTAGAACACAATTGTTTATGAACTAAGTTGGACCTAATTGGACAGATTGAATTTGGAATATAAGCAGAAATGCGAAAAAAAAGATGTAAACTGCAGAACAAAAACAAAAATGGCTGCCAATCGTCTTGAATTGGATTGTAACACAAATTAAAGTTTAATTTAATTTGAAGTTTAGACTTAAATGGACAGTGAGAGATATAAGCAGAAATGTGCAAAAAAAGGATGAGGATTGCTGGTTTTCAAAATAAAACAAAATAAATTACTAGCCAGATCTGGAAAACACAAGAAAACTACACTAACACTTAATCACTTATACTGGTTTTCACTACCTAGCAGTATAAAGGTCTTCATTTTATTAACTTATTTCCACATCTAACAAATGTTTTATTTTAGGCAAGTTTTACCCCACATCTTGAAAATTTCACTTGCTAGTTACACCAAAATTGAACTTCCAAATTTTATTCCCAATATTTTCAGATATAAACTGTTATTGTAACTACAGGAAAGGTTACAAGAGTCAACAACGATAACAACAAAGAGGACAGACATTTGCCCCATCATGTTATGATGAACAGTACCAGTATCAGTGGGAAATTGACTAATTACTGTAAAATGACTAATATTCACTGGGTTTAAATTTCACTGATTTACCATTTCAGGCATATTCAGTGGGTTTTAAATTCACGGTTTCGTCATTTAGATAATGTGTTCTATGCTAAATTTTACATATTCACTGGGTTTTAATTTAGCGCATTTTCCAGTCAGCGAAATAAGCTAAATTAAAACCCAGTGAATAATTAACCCCTTTACAGTATAAAGTAAATTATGTATTAATATGCATAGATTTTAAACCATAACTAATCAGGTCTTTGTAATTTTCCCAGACCAAATGTTATAATTAGTTCTTGAGGTATTGTGGAAAGATCAAAAACTGGCTTATCCCCCCCCCCCCCGGTAATTATTATGCATATTAGATAATTTATATTATGCTCAGACATTAATCTGTGCATTGCCCTAGAGCACCTATCAGATTTCATTGAAATGTGGTAATTACTGAGACATACATACATAAACACACACAAACACACAGACAAGTTAACAGCAAAGAATCCCATTTTGTGCTTCACTATTACAGGATTCGGCTGATACCCCGCCCTGGGCGATCTTATGGAGGATTCAATTTTTTTTATATAAAAATGTGGACCAAAAGATCGCCCGGGCGATGTTATGGCAGATATTATGAAGCCCGCCCTGGGCGATCTTATGGAGGATTCGATTTTTTTTTCCGCCCGGGCGATGTTATGGCAGATATCACGAAGCTCATCTATAATGTTTCGCGTTGTCAAAGTGTTTTAATACATTGGTGAGAGGTCGCATTTTAAGTGAACAAGAACATGCACTAAGAAGGAAAAGCAAGCCAAAGTCAAAACGGGGTGCATCATGAACATGACACAACACACGCTGCGATAACTGGGTGATCAGCGACATCATTTTGGGACGCAATTGAACTTCAAGTACTTTGTGAAACTTGCTGCGCGGCGATGCTGGCATCAAGTGTGTGTTGACCAAAGTTTGACCCCCAAGTCATGCACTGAACTGGCGCGTTACCTTAGCAACCTTTTTCTTTCTTTGTTCGATCTAGTAAAATTGTTATTATATCTGGCGGTACTGTAATAACACAACTTGTATGCAACTCTGTACTGGCTTTGAATATATCAATGTCATTTTACTTAGTGCACTGCTTTTCTAATTACGCAAATTCATTTACAATATTGTACCGGCTCTGAATATTTCAACTTTGTAATGTATTGCTTTCATGATAATTATGCAAACTCAAGTTATTTTTTACTATTGTGAGGGTATTGGGTCTGTGAATATTTGCATTCGTAATAATTACGCAAACATAAACATGGGCGCATTTAAATCATTAAAAAGGATAGTAGTCAGGTATCTACGAAAAATCAAGAAAATATTTTAAATACATGTGATTCATCAATGTTCCAATGGTGAATTATTTTATTCGAAATGAAGTGAACCTGTAATAAAAACCATACCATGTGTCAAGTTAAATTTTACTATAATATAATTAAACTCTGGGCAGCGCACTTCGATCGCATTATTCGCGTACATTTCGACTGAACTCTAATAACCACGCGTTTGAATTACGTGCGGCATTGGGCAATGACCTCCAGAGTTTACGCACTGGTATTTAAATTTGGGCCACCCAACTTGACGTAAATCAATATAGTTACTTGTCATTTGTTCAAAAAATCTTTCAACTCTCGCAAATACCATGAATGCAAAGAGTTAACTGGGGGTTGCCTGAAAGGGAACGGTCTTTTTTTGGACAAAAAACATGTCAATACAAAATTATGTGTGCAAGGTTAGATTTATAGAACGTACATGACTGCTTAACTCTGTTTTTCAATAATCATGTCGCATGTGAAACGCAGGAGACATTTTAGTTCGCTCATTTCTTGTTTACTGATCTTGAACTTTTTCTCTGGAATGCGATACAGACAAAAATTAAACATTACTGATACCTACCATTGTTAAATCAACCAAGAGACTCGAATCAGGAGGAAGTCTTGGCTATTTTAAACTTCGTAAATAGCATTCTTTTCAAGTGTAGACTTTATTCGAGTGTAATAAACGTAAGTGAAATGTATTAACGAGTCATAATACGCAACAACAGTTCGTATACAGCATTGGATTCATTGGAGTTTTATGGTTTTCGACTTCACAGTGAATTATTTTTAGCGTCATATTTGAAATAGCGCGCTTGATGCAAGATGTCGGACGGGAAAATTGGGGTCGGTAAAAATGTTTGTTGGTTCAGTCAGGCAATGTGTGAACCAAAACATCGCCCACTATTTGAAACATCGCCCATGGGCGGGGTTTAGGATGGGGGCGGGGTATCAGCTGAATCCGGTAGTAGAATTTATCACCATTTTGAGCACTAAAAACACTGGACTCCTTTGTTTTCCTAGTTACCCCTGATCTGATCTATTTACAGTGAACAGGAAGTATATTTCAATAAGCTGGCAACAAACTGAGGAGAGGGAATAAAGATTCTTACCTGCAAACCTACTGCAAAATGTGAATGTCCAACGACACCACTCCTTACAAGCTATAAACAAATAAATCAACATGTCATTGACATGCAATAAGTGATCTCACAGTTGAAATAGCTCTGCTATCTTTACAGACTTACTTCTCAAAATTAAGTTGATAATGTTCTGTAATTGTTGCCATGGTAATTGTTTTCATCTGGCTTCAAATCTTAGAGTCAAACAAGGTACCCACATACCAAGTATCAAAGCCATTGAAGCAGAACATGACATGATGAATAATAAGCATGTTTTGTTTCGTTTTGGTTCCAGAATAGTTTTGATAAATTTTTAGCTTTAGAAATATATATGTTTTTGTCAGTTTCAATGGATAACAATTCAGGTTGCACTGTAGTATCTGTTGACATTTAGGATGTCAGCTAATCACATTATGAACTGTTGTTTTCTTGATCAAATAGCAATGATATGTATACATCTAACATTAACACAAAACCATTCACTAATAAATTGCTTGTGATTATAAAATCTGGTATAAATGCCAACCCATACAATAGAAGTAAATACTTACAGTTGACATCATCTCCTTCATGGCAATAACTTTAGGAGAATCACCCATGAAATGATTACTCTGATTAGCAGGGATGGCTTCACCGAGATTATAAAGGAATCGCACAGCAAGCTCTACTTTTGTAAATACTAATGTTTCCCATTGTCTGCATTAAAGCGAAAAGGTCAATAAAATCATTGTGTACAGTCAATGGCAGAACAGGGCAAATTCAATGGCAGAACAGGGCAAAGTCAATGGCAGAACAGGGCAAAGTCAATGGCAGAACAGGGCAAAGTCAATGTGCCATCACGTGCACAGTCAATGGCATGGTGGTGCAAAGTTGATGTGGCATCACGGTGCACAGTCTATGGCATCATGGCATCACAGGGCAAAGTTGATGTGGCATTACGAGCACAGTCAATGGCATCACAATGCACAGTCAATGGCATCATGGAGCACAGTCAATGGCATCATGGAGCACAGTCAATGGCATCACGGTGCACAGTCGATGTGGCATTTCGGTGCACAGTCAATGGCCTCACGGTGCACAGTCAATGTGGCATCACGGTGGCCTCACGATGCACAGTCAATGTGGCATCACGGTGGCCTCACGATGCACAGTCAATGTGGCATCACGGTGGCATCACTGTGCACAGTCAATGTGGCATCACGGTGGCATCACTGTGCACAGTCAATGTGGCATCACGGTTGCATCACGGTGCACAGTCAATGGCATCACGGTGCACAGTCAATGGCATCACGGTGCACAGTCAATGGCATCACTGTGCACAGTCAATGGCATCACTGTGCACAGTCAATGGCATCACTGTGCACAGTCAATGGCATCACTGTGCACAGTCAATGGCATCACTGTGCACAGTCAATGGCATCACTGTGCACAGTCAATGGCATCACTGTGCACAGTCAATGGCATGGTGAAAAGTCAATGAGAATTGTGCATAAAATAAAGCAGTGGCTTTGACATTGGTCAAAATAAATAAAGTGTCTGCTCAGTGAAATGTCCAATCAAAGAAAGCTTAGAAAGAACTCCCGTGTGCTGAGAGTATTGAAGACACATTAAAAATTAATTCAAAATTACTTGTACATGAGATATTGATAGAAAAGCTGAAAACTAATTATGTACATCAGGTAACTAATATGAACAGAACAGAACAAAAAAATTATGAATTATTATGCTAATTAGAGAATTAATATGAACAAATTTTAACCCAAAATTAATCAGGCCTGTCTATTGTCCTAGAGCATTTATGTACCAAATTTTATTCAAATGTGATGATCAGTAATTGAGATATCAGTGTTAATTAATTATGTTAATTAGGAGATTAATAAGCATAAATATTTACCAAAAACTAATTGGGTTTCTGCATAGTTCTCTTTAAAAGTTTCATTAAAATCTAATTTGTGGTTCTTTATATATCAGTGGAACATTATGCAAATTAGGTAATTAATATCCAATTAAAACTAATTAGGTCTCTGCATAATCCTAGAAGATCTATGTAGCAAGTCACATTGAAATATGATGATTACTACTTGATATATCAAAAGCTGAAAATTAATTAATTATGCAAATTAGATAATTAATATGTACTCATATTACCCTAAAAACTATCAGGTCTGTGCAGTGTCCTATGACATCTATGTACCAAGTTTCATTGAAATGTGACAATTACTACTTGAAATATCAAAAGCTGAAAATTAATTAATTATGCTAATTAGGTAATTAATATCTACTGATATTACCCTAAAAACTTTCAGGTCTGTGCAGTGTCCTATGACATCTATGTACCAAGTTTTATTGAAATGTGATGATTAGTACTTGAGATATCAGTGGAAAAGCCGAAAATTGATTAATCATTATGCAAATTAGGTAATTAATATTGCACAGATTTTTACCCAAAACTAATCAAATCT